AGAAGAAGAAGAAGAAGAAGAAGAAGAAGAAGAAGAAGAAGAAGAAACAACAACAACAACAACAACAACAACAACCTGTGGTTTCATTTCATTATTTCATTTCATTATTTAAACTAGGTAACATCATCAGTGCTACTACGAGCACTGATCATGTCACCTAGTTAGATAATGAAATATCTGCCAGAAAACCACCAAGCTCAAAGACCACCACGGACTTCTCATTTTGGTTCCTTTTCTCAAGGGTTTCCTTTTTGCCTTTTTCCTGCTCCACCAGGAAAACATATATAATATGTTTTAATATATAATAATATATTAAAATATTCATCTTAATATGATTTAATAGTAAAACTATTCAAACTGACTTTCCCCCTCTAAATAAGTTTTCCAAAGATAAAATTATTTATGTTCCTTTTTCCAAAGTAGATAAGCTTTTGTGCAATGGTTATGCATGCTTATATTGTTTTTTTAGGCTGCATTGGGTATATTTTTCCAGAACCTGTAAGGAATTAAAGCAGGTATGGAAATAATTTTAAAGGGGGGAAAAATCTGCCTAACAAACTAGTTCTACTTTATGGAGTGAGAAGTGCTGGAGAAAAAGAGAATTTCAGCACCCCGGAGAGCTCCCGCAAAGGTAGAAATGGCCCCAGTTCAATCAACTCAGATCTATTTTGCTAGCAACCTTCTGGAAGAAATTAAAAAAAAAAAGTCACATTATTAAAACACCCTCCACTCCTCTTAAGCCAACATCCATCCAGATGTGGCTCCAATCCAACTGCCTGTATCTCTCTCTTCTGCAAATGCTCTCTAGCACAGCTGGCCATTCAGCACCATGTCATCCTTCCGGGCAGACAACCAGGGCAAACCAATTTGGTATTGCCGTCAAGGAAAATTCGTAAAACCATCCATGAACTTCCCGGGAGTCTAGCTTAGCGTAAAGGTATGCCTTAACGTGCCAAAGAGGCCTAAGGACTATCCCCTTGGACTGTAAAATAAGTGGTGGGCAGTGGCTACCCTTCCCAAGCTTATAAAACCCACAGAACAGAGCATCCAAAGTTGACACTGTTTGTCAGGAAGGCAATCGGAGAGAGCTTGCAATCATGTTGGTCTTTGCCCATATGGTCAGAACATCAGAATAACAGAGTTGGAAGGGGACTTGGAGGTCTTCTAGTCCAGCCCCTAGCTCAAGCAGGAGATCCTATACCATTCCAGACAGATTGTTGTCCAGTCTCTTCTTGAAAACCTCCAGCGACGGAGCACCCACTCTGCCTGTCAAAGGTTCTGTTAATGTAGCACTACAATAAAGCATTTGTTTATCTGGTTGTATTTCCTATCTGGTCAACACGATAAGAAAATTAAATTGGCAGTCAGGCGGAAGGGCTGTAGACTAAGCAGTGGGCAGATAAAAGGCAGCTGAGCCCCAAGAAGGAAAAGGGATGTGGCAAACACATCAGAAGAACCCTCCCTAGTTTCCTGGGCTGTATAGGTGAGTGGGGAGAGAGATAATTTCAGCCTTACAAGATTCTGTTACTATAACCTTACAATAGTCAGGATTTTGGCACTTAACCCCATTTAAATCATGAGTCTCAAGCCAAACTTCCAAAGGATTTATTGGGTGTAGCCGACTCTGCCTGGGTGTAGCTGACTCTGAGGCACATAATTCATTGTCACTCTTGACCCAGGTTTTCCCCCACCCCCTGGGTGTATCATAATTCATATTCTCCAATGGGACACATCCATAGCCAAGAGTCATCGATCAGGCTCTCCAGTTAGAATTTTGCGTGGCAGAAAGTTCGGTCACCTAGTTACAATTTTTGAAAACATTTAGGGAATGCAAGCTGCCCACTGCTCCCCCTCTCTTTCTGTTGGCAACTCTGAAAAGACCATAGCATTATTTTATGAGTTGACAAAAGATAGAATTAGCTTCTGGTCTGAACTACAAGTAGTCCTCAACTTACAACCACAACTGAGCCCGTAATTGAGTTAAGTGAGTTTTGCCCCAGTTTTACAACAGTTGTTCAGTGAAATGACTGCAGTTGTTAAGTGACTACATGGTTGTTAAGTGAAACCGGCTTCCCCATGGGCATGGCTGGTCAGAAGGTCGTCAAAGGGGATCAACTGACCCCTGGGATGTTGCGACCGTCATAAATATGAGTCACTTGCCAAATGTCCGGATTTTGACCGCACGATCAGTGCAAAAAACGGTCCTAAGTCCCTTTTTCAGGGCTGTTGTAACTTCGAATGGTTACTACAATGGAACTGTTGTACATAGAGGATTGCCTGGACCACGTCAGGGACGGCGGTAGGCCGACCCGAAGTCGTTACGTACCGTTGTACACCAGCTCGCCGAACTTTGTGGCCAATATTCGCTTGACGTTCCGCACTTCCCGGTCGGTGGTGAAGTTCTCGAGGTCTAAGTGAGCATGGTAGAGGATGGTTCCCGCCGGAGTCTCATAGATACCTAGCCATTTCATCCGCGGAGGGTTGTTGTGGGGCGGGGGGAGGACGAGAGAAAGCCAGAGGGGAGAGAGAGGAGAAAAGAGAGAGTGAGGAGGCCTAAACTGTCATGAAATGACACAAAATAATGATCTGGTTGACAGAAGGAAACGGCGTCTCTGGCTCTATTCAGTCTCAGCTTGCCATAAAACGCGACTGTCATTACAATCCCGCTGGGGCCGAGACAGTCCACTCCGCACCTCGCGGAGAAAATTTCTAGATTCCTCTTTGGGAAGAAATGCTCCGACTAGGCGAAATGACAGGGTTGAGGAAGGCGATTTCCCACCGATGGTCGCCCACCAATCTGGGCCTGAAAACCTATAATTAAACAACCACGCAGGGCAGAATCATGGGAGTCTCAGGATGGGGGGGGTGGGGTGGAAGAAAGAAATCCCCTCTCGTCTTTCTCTCTCCCCCCCACCCAACTCTTCCAACAAACAAGAAAAAGCAGCAAGAATGGGGAACAAAAAAAACCCAGCCGAATCGCTAAAGGAACGGTTGCGAGTCAAGGACAAGCTGCCTTTAACTACGTGGGGGGGGGGGTGTTTATTTTGTCCGATCGCCTTCTCGTCCTAGGCTAAATAAATCAATACCCAAAATGGGATTGCGTGACAGCTGGGAGGAGGGGGGGGGGAAGGTGCATCCTTCAGAACTTTGAATCCGGGTTATTACGGCTACCTTTCTGGGTGATTGGTCATAACTTCAAACGGTCGCTAAGCGAGGACTACCTGTATTCTCTGCCACCCTCCAATAGCAGTGAGAAACCTCAGAGGGGAATTTTTAAAGAAACTGAGCAGAGTGGCAAGATTTGCACTGCCAGAAAAAATATTAATATAAATATAAATATCTATATCTATATCTATTTAATATCTATATCTATCTCTCTATATCTCTATCTATCTGTGTATCTATCTATCTATATCTATCTATGTATCTATCTATCTATCTATATTTCTCTATCTATCTTATATCTATATCTATCTATATCTCTATTTATGTATCTATCTATATCTATATCTATCTATATCTATATCTATCTACCTATCTATATCTATCTATCTATCTATCTATCTATCTATCTATCTATCTATCTATCTAATCTATTTCTCTATCTTATATCTATATCTATCTATATCTCTATTTATGTATCTTATATCTATATCTATCTATCTATCTATCCATCTCTCTCTTTCTCTATCATCTATCTATCTATCTATCTATCTATCTATATCTATCTTATCTATCTATCTAATCTATCTTGTCTGTCTGTCTATCTTTATCTATCTATCTATCTATCTATCTATCTATCTATCTATCTATCTAT